CGAGTGCTGATCGGTTTAATTTGCTGTGATTCAATTTAGTTGAAGACCTTGTTCTTTTGTGTGTGAATGGCTCTGTTAGCTATGCCTAATCAGATTCTATAGTAACTTATTATTGCGTCCAGGTTAAGCGTTGTAAGAACTTCATCGGGATAACATTTCAGTTAACCTGACAGCCTTTTATTGGTGTACCTTCCAATTACGTCTCGTAAGGCAAGTAGCTGACGGTAACATCGAAAAATACGAGTAAACTTTATTCTGCAATCCCCCAACCCTCGTAGCGTACACTCAGGATGTGCTATATTTTTCGCAATTAGAACCAACAATCTGCGCCCTTCACAGTATCGGGGCCCACAAATAAAAGTTAAGCACTTTGTACTTGACCTCCTGATAAATGTTTTCGGCGTGCCAACTTGCCGTTTTATCTGAATTTCAGTGAATAACTTTCCTGTACAAGTATGGAAGAATTGGTAAAAAACAAACCCATGGTAGAAGTCGTGATGCATTATTTGCGCGGATAATTTAGTTAGAAGTAACTCGAAAGGCGTTCAGACGTCGACTCCCGCGTTCTTGTGCGTATGGAATGTATACTGAAGGCCAACTAATGTATGGCCTGAGTAATACGGCCAACTGTATAACTCTAAAACTTGTGCGAACCTGCTTTTATAAGCGTCCATATTTGTTAGAGAACTGATCGGTGACCGGAAGATGAAAAACAGTGAGATCGACGGCGCTTAGCATTTCTGACCCACGGTTGTCAAACGACGATTCACCTCCCACAGTCAGGCCGACTAGAGGCTGGAACTTGGACTGTAATGGGCCATTTCTGATGTGATCGGAGCTACCCACCCCTTTTGTGACAAAACTTTGCACGGGCTGTTCGGCTTTTTCAGCCCCTTAAATCCGGTCTTCGCATCAGTTAACTGACCTCGGACAATGAATGAGTTGCTGGTCGATGACGTGCATGAAACTGCCCCAGTGAACGAAAAGCAGTTGCTTTAAAGGCTGCCATCTGAGGAGGAAACTCGATTCTCTCAGGACGGATAATGAGCCTGACATTACTCCCATTTAATGTAGCCTTTAGCGCACCCGCATTCGCTGATGCGTTGTGTTTTAACACGGCCAACCAGAGATCTAGTTGTTGTATGGACAGCAAGAGGATC